TTTGACCCTGGATAACCCACTGAAGACTATAATGCAGAACGTATAAGATATCCATCAACGTTTAGTGCACATGGGGCTCCGATGCCCTCCTTGCACTTGAAAGAATCTGTATGATAGACATTGGGTCTTACAGCCAACCGAAGCACTACAGCTTCCGACTTCGACCCAGAAACGACAGTGAACAGAATATAGTATCTCGAGTCTTCTTAGAAATTGTTTTTCTGTAGCTATCCTTACAAAACAAATACATGGTTATCCTTGAAATTGGAATTACATCTACTTTGACATAGAAATTTTGTTTCTATATCTATCCTACAAAACAAATACAATGTTACCCTGGAATTCGGACTCAAATCCACTCTAACATAGCGTTTTCCTGAAGCCCTATAAAACATACAAAACAAAGTTCGAATCTCATCCAGATTTATAAAGTAAAGTGTTTCCTTAGCCACACCACCAGCCCCAGATACCACCCAGTTAAGCAAGACAATCCCATGTCTACAAATATACGTCTACGAGCTACACAAGACTCCAGAACGGAACCTCGAACACCAAACGTATTATTTTCCCCAATTTCTCTAGGACCTTGTTTTAACATTGGCTGAAACCCCGATTGTATCGTTCTAACCCCATCAATCTGACATAGCAATTGGTTTCCCTTTACGTATTGTCTAATGGTCACATGGACACAAACGGAAATTAAAGGTCGGATTCCCTGGAGTATATGTATACATTGTGTGAATATATCCCAAATTACTCCCTGTCCCATACTTCCAGTCAATGAAGAACCAGTTCAGAACGAGGACAACTAACCATTGTCAGAGAAGAGACAGGTTCATCTACACCGACAGTTATTGACTTCCTATACGCTGGGCTAGCTATGGCCTTGTGCAAGTGACGGAAGGTCCGGGTTTGATTCTACATTGCTTGGGTCTTCCGCTGAGATATTGCCGGAATACTGAACCACCAGACACACTCATTGTTCTTTTCTTTTCCAATCGTTATGTTCTTGATACACGATGATCATTGTTTCATGGCAAATCTTGAACTAATGTGAAAATGCAGAGTCAAAAGCTGCGAATATACAACAACGGCTGTATCTGATAAACACTTGTCAGATATAATCTAAATTTAACTATTCAAAAACATAAGACCATATGAAAAGGACCACCTGCACAAGACGACAGATATGGCAAAGATACAGCAAGTAGCGACAACATATGTTCAAACTGGCATTTATACAGACATGTGGAAGATGCTGAGAAAATATGGATTCGTGCCTTAGGGATATATTGTAGCTTTTCGTAAAAGTGTCTACATGACGCATAGGGCAGAATGGACTTTTTTCCAAAACGTGCCTTGAAGGACTGACATTATCAAATCCGGTGCCAGTTTCTGTAAAGTCCTCTTGAAGGTCTCAACTAGAACTCTAAGAACACAACATGTGAACTTCAATTGGTGAGGTCATGAGGATCTGCAGAATGTTTTCTCCACCACCGTGGGATACAGTTTAATAATATGAAGTATGTTTTGTTTATATGTAAATTAAAACAATTAAAAAATATCACAAATCAATCCGAATTTCTAAATTGTCCAATGTTGTGACACACGAAGTCAAATGGCCTTGTTCCTTAGTGAAATTAAAAAGTCATCATATTACGCAAAGAATATGTTTGAAACGTCTATATTAAAATGTGTTGTCTTTCAATGTTAGAATAACACTGATAGCTTGTGTTCCAGGGATATTTGTTGTTTTAAGATGTTAAGTACAACTAAATCAAGGTCGTTACCAGGAAAGAATTGTCAACAAGCCTGTTCATTTTCTCCTGTGTCACATTCTACCGCGTCAAAGATATAATCAGTTTTCCTACGTTTCTTGTGTTCATTTGACAAACGGGCTACCATAGAACTACCGTTGCCATAATACAAGAAGGTGAAGCAATACCAGGTATCATAAAGCATTAACAGGTATCATAATGCAATAAAACGTATCATAAAGCAATACCAGGTATCATAAAGCAATAATAAGTTGTATTATGAGGCAATCATGACGGCAAAACGCTCCACTTGATGAATACTGAGGAATCGGTTGTTGTTTAATGCTGTACTCAACAGTAGTTCAGCTATATCACTATGCCCTGTAACTATGCACATCTGAACCAGTGGTTGATACTATGAGTATCGTCCACGTCGCGGCGATTCTATGACCAACACCCACACTCCCGATCAGGTCGAAGAGCATTATACGACGGACAATAGAGTACTGGGTCCCGATCCGCAAAGCATTCGTATCGTTACGACCTGTCGTAACTTTATAGGCTTACGAATGCTTTATGGATCTTGGGCCCCGATCCACAAAGAGTTCGTAGCGCTACGACATTCGTAAACCTATGATAAACTATATATATGCAGATATATCCTAAGTCGAGTCCTAAAGGTATATTTCGGAGTTAACAACGATCTACGTGCCTGTCAAGTTTAATTCAATTCTGCCCGCGAAGATCCCGTTAAGAATCGATCTCAAGCATACCACGCTTGTCATAAGAGGAGACTATAGGGATGGGTGGTCAGGTTTGCTGCTGACTTGGTTGACACATGTCATGGTTTGCTTAGATCGATGCTCATGCTGTTGATCACTGGACTGTTTGACCCAGACGCTATTATTTACGGGCCGCCGCCATATTGCTGGACTATTACTGCGTACGATGTTAACCAACCAACAAATAACAATGCATTAAATGCATGCTGCTTATATCGCTTTTCAAACGTTCCAAATCACTTACTGAAGGTGTATAACGAGAGACAATACACTGTCGTTTTCACATCCAAACTGTTAATCAAATTTAATAACCCTATGCATCAGATTCCCAAATCACGTTAGAACAATTTAAACCTGACATACGGAGGATGTTCCTGTAATGTGTTCACATTATTGTTGAAATATGACAGGGAAGGGTATGACAAATATCATCCGGCTTGTAATGGGATGTCACAACATTTACAAGACAGTTAAGTCGGGGAGAAATCAGAGATAATATTACAAAACTGAAAATACAATCCAACTTGAATTTGTTGTCATTTCAATCTCATCTGTAAATCTAGATGATATTAAAGTGCCAAACAAATAGAACGACAAGGTTTATTAATATTTTATGTTCCGGGATGAGAAATCCATATTGATAAACCGAAAGGCACAAGAAACTATACCTCTCAGTCGAGTTTGTGATTTCCAATTGATAATATTTTAAGTTAGGCAGTACAATCCAATTCAAAATATGAACTTCCGCTTAAGTCAGCACTTAGGGAAAGCTTCTGCAAGAATTTAGTTTTGAAATATAATTACTGTTAAAACATTTAGTCTAATGAATATCTTAGACATGCCATCTTTCAAAATCAATAAATTTGCCTTTTTCGACACAAACAAACATTTGAAACATGGTCACGGGTACAAATTCGCTTCTTACTCGGAAAACAAATGATGCAACAACGTGGCAATACGATAGATGGAGGGTAGATTTCGCCAACAAACTATCTATCAAAGTAACTGCAGCTAAAGGCAACAGAGACGGGAATACTTGTACGACCAAGAAAGCCATAGAAGTACTTAATACAACAATATAAACATTCAATCGATATATGCATGTCTGGAATGAATTATCACGATTATCACGCAATGCGAATATTATAAAGTAACAAAATCCCCCTTTCCTCATTCGCATCACGTCTCTCCATGTATCATCTAATAAACGAAAAACTTTAAAGGCAGCTCATATTTCACTGTGATGAATATCAATTCCATTTGCAACATAAAACCATTTTACAAACATATCACCGGCTTTCAGAACCGTTTTGCTTTGAAATATGTTGATGCCAGTCCCACTTTGTGACAGTTGAACATCGAAACATGAACCACGTGACCCGACTGTGAAGGTGAGGAATTTGGGATCGGAAATTCTGGAAAGACGATTTGTGCTCACTTCCTTGCTGAAATGTTTCATTTGCATGTGAAAGGGAATATTCGGATTTGCAACAAAACACGTGAGTTTATCCAGGATATTTAACTTTAGCTTCAGGTATATCAATGATCTTATATTGTTCAATAATCATCAGTTGGCCACTTTTCTTCATCTGATTTCACATACGTTAAGTAGAAATATAAACGATAACCCTTAACCGTTATAAAATTCCGCCCTGTGCATAAAGATTCAGACTGACGAATACATCTCTGCATGGATGTATTACTTTCGAACAGTCAACTTTATGTCGAGCAACATTTCAGCAGTTCGAATTATTGGTGTCTACGTTTTCTAATTTTTTAGGTACGATAGACCATGATATTTCTTCAGAGATTTCAAAGGTGACACCAATCTATTATTCTGACTTGTAAATATCATGATCCTGTTTTCCATTGAGTGAAAAATTGGTGTGCCTTTGCATGTGTTTGTGATGGATGTCGGGGCGGCAGAATACACTTTCGCCAACACCTGGTGTCTAGGTATTTGACAGTGACTCTTAAATACATTGATACATTACTTAAATGCATGGTTATGATATAGTCGGAAAGTATGAATCCAGCTACATGGTGGCGGCATTAAAATATTTCAATTTGCATCAAATAATCCAGAGATTAATAGCCACACCGTCAGGGTATGATTGCACGCAACACCACTGTCACCGAGGACCGCCCGACCCACAGGTCCTCATATAACAAACATATGTTGTTGGATGCCTATCTTAACCTGGGTGTCCAAGTCGTCAAGGTCAATTCGTAAGTACTCTATGTAACTGGATACAAACTGTTATCAATGGTTCAATTGCTTCGAGTTGAACGTGAATGAGTGAGTGAGTGCCTTGTGTGGTATCGAACCTAGGCCATAGGCGTGACGAGCGAATGCTTGAATCACTTATCTACGAGTTGTTAATGTTATATATGAGATGAGACATATATGAGAAACATATCAAGTCAGTCACGAAAACATTTCATATCAACATTCACTTACCCAGCATCATCAGGGTTCTCCATGATAGACTCAAGGTCGGACACTGACCCTGTGTCATCAGAGAGCACCAGTGGAAGGCGTGTTCGGTTGGGCGGCGGGGACTGAAACAGACCAAGACAAGGCTCCGACTTTCTCCCTCGTCGTGTGTAACCATCCCTGAATCGAGCCAATTCGTTCTGAAACTTGCTGTTCTCAATGGGCCCTATTGAATTAGGCCTTGGCTTCCCTCTGTTGGCAAAATTATCCCTTCTCCTCAAACACACATTCGTCATAGAAGATCCCAGAGAATTGTCTTTGTCAATAAGTCCAGGTGAATGGAATTCACTGTTTGGCGGGGCGGTTTTTTGGTATTGTTTCCAATAATTCATATCACACTGGACCGACACATCCCTTTGCCAGGGGTACCTTGCATCAAAGCTCTCTCCCACGATATCAAACTTCCTATAACGCGATGCCTCCGTCGTGTTGTCGCTGTGGCTTCGCCGAAGGTGTTTGCTGTCATCGGCTATGTCTCTTTGAGCACCTTCGAAAGAGTCGTGGCGTCTTGTTTGAGAGCCGAAGTCAGAAGGCACAGATCTTGGTTGTTTGTACAGGCAGGATGGTCTCCCAGGCGCGTTACACGATGCATTCATGCTTCCCCCAGCACCATTCATATCCATCCTGGGGGAGTCATACCCAACACCCCCATTCTCGACACCATTACGTCCCTTCTCAAGCACCGGAGGTTCGTATACTGGCACTGAAGACGCTGAGCAAGGTCTTCTCTTGGGCAATGTGTTGGCCACATCCCTCGAGTCACAGAAGACTGGTGACGTTCTGGAAACGTCTTGCCCCGGAGGGGACGTGTTCTCCCCTGACCAGGAAAGGCGGTTGAGGACTCTTTTCATCTTCGGTGAGTCGGGGGGAGCCAGGGCGCGCTTCCAACGGTGTGGAGCGTTGTAGCGGTACGCTTGTCTCTTGCTGGAAGGGTCGGGGGAGACGTCTTTCCCTCCTCCCTCGTCTGTCACGTTGTCGGGAGGGTCATCGCCTGCAGTACGTTAATACATGTTTTAAAAATATGCTATAAACAACACCTGGTCTAATAATAACAACAATTACAATACCAATGATATAAACATTACCAATACATTTGCATTGAGTACATGTCATGCTTAAAACACACCATTTGTGGTATTTAAACATGCGGTGGCACTTCGTTTGTCAAAAAAACCCTGTAGTGACCACAAAACATATCGAATCACCCGTAATTTTAGACAGGCAGAATAGCGATATTTATAACCCATGGGGTTACATTTAATTCAGTTATTACCTACGAGGGCGAACATATCGGGGTTCATATTTTTCATACGATGCCCTAGGGCAAAATATCACTTTGTCATGGTGACGTGACGTCATGAACATTGCTATGACGTCACGTTTCTTCTGTGACGTTGCGCTCTACATGCGGCGACGGCGGATAGCCAGCCTGTGTTTGAAAGTAGATTTGGGTTTATCTTCCTCAACTTGACGACTTCGGTAATAAACAAAATATTATATTCGTGCCCACATCATACTATGTTTACGACACTCGTGCCTAAATATCGGCTTATCTCTCGCTCTCGCTCGGGAAATACCAACATTTAGGCACTCGTGTCGTAAACATAGTATAACATGGGCATTCATATAATATCCTCTATTTAATATCGCACGGACACTAGTGAAAACTTCACTTCACGCGCACCAGCCATTACACTATTTTGACGGAATCGTTGAATTCTATCGAATTTTCTTGTGACGTAAGCACCGAATGACGTCACAATAGAAACTATATCATTCAGTGGTCGTAATCAGTTTATCTTATTAAAAGGGTTAAAAAATAATAAGTAATAAAGGAATAACCAGATTTTATGAAAACCTGTGTACGAATTCATGTATTAAGCTTTCTTTCGCTTAGGAAAACGTTAGTACGTCTCGTTTCGTTAAAACAGCGTGACACACATACTCGTATAATAATCTATATATATTGCCTTCATAGTTGTGCCGGACAACTTAAAGACTTGACATAACTAGGTTATACTTTGTATAGTTCACAAGCAGTTTTTCTTATTCCACTTTATCACCATATAAAATGCGTATGAATTATTGAATTCTTCTGCAGACTGTTTTGGCGTGTCACATTAGATGCTTACAGTTTATAGGAGGTTCCATTCACAGCCCTTTGGGTGTGAATTACGATGTAGTTTGTACTTATGTTTTGCAGATCGTCTAAACAACGCTGTCACGTCTCAGGCTTATCTGTCCGCATAGCAACAGTGCACAGACTCTCAACGAAAAGCTCACAGCGTTGATAAGCTCAAGATATGACGCAACTAGCACGTGCTGGGAAACATGTACTGGGGCACGCTGGGAATGATGTCAAAACAGCCATGATTCTTAAAAAGACGCTTTTCTCATGAAAAACGGAGAAATTAAAATACTGCTTTTGCTGGACGACCACGAACGTAGTTAGCCTCCATGATTTTAAAGATGTGTTACTTTGTGAGATATATAAAAATTATCGTATCGCAATTTATGCAATAAGCCACGTATGTCTTTCCCAATCCACGGCTATTGTGATCATGCATTATGCATGCAAATAAAGCTTTGATAATGATGTCAGCCACTCGGTTGACTCAGATTCCATAAGTACCAGGACACTATGATTAGGACATTTCGTACCTCTAAAAGCGGCGTAAAATAGCATGCAAACAGGAACTGCAATAGGCGTAAAGAACGTACATGACACACACATGATTAACGTTTGTGTGTGATACAATTCAAATGGTTAATTAAATGCAACACTAATTAACAGAGCAAACCTATACATACACAGTTCATGGTTTCCTCTGAGTTGTTCCAAACCATTATTTTATGTCAACTTCACATCAACGACCCAAGGAGTATTATAACAATTGTAAACAAGTTGGTAGCTTTTCTATAACCGAGATTAGACTTGCGAAAGGCTTTTTATTTTCTCTCTAATTCCAGTGTTGATTGCATTAACGTAATGTGATAAAGACGAGGCAGGTCATGGTAACCAATTTCGCACCTGGACTTGTAATGATGGAATGAAGATTGATAACATCATATCGCTTCCCTTCAGTTAGGAATCCTTTGTTGTCACGTGCCCGGGATACAAGCGCATATAGACACTTGCGTTAATTCCACATATGGTGAGACGAAAAGGGGGTAATTGGTTTCAAGGTCGCGATTAAACGTGTGCACTTTTACAGGGACGTGCGTGCCTCTGTCTGCTTGTACAAGTCCGGACTTTTTTCGGTTCGTTTTTAGTGCCAACCCACCAGATACCATGCCGCAGTTTAAAGGGATACCTCATTCAGATACATCATACTTACTATTTGTTCACAAGCCCATCCCCTCAATGTCGAGCACCAGGCACGGTAACTTCAAATCCGTAATGAAATTTCTGCTGCTCTTTCCACGCTGTATTTGTGAGCAAATAACTTCCCCCCATTACTTCAGTCTGTATTACAAAGTGCACATGGAAGTCATTATTGACACCACACCGACACATGTTCATGAACGAAAGAAAACAAATCATAAAAGGAAGAATGGCCTTGACCCAGGTACGGATTCGAACCCGGATCCACGGCGAGCCGACAACTAACACATTACCTAGCCATCCATGTGTTATGAGTAATAACAAGGATGGTGCAGTGCTGTATTTACAAACCATACATTAAACTCCCAACACAACCGGTTACTCCTGTATCCATACACAAGACCCAAAGTAATCATATAAACTTCACCAGACAGAACAAATCCTTATTGCTTTCACAAGAAAATTGTACAAACGAAACTTGTCCCAATGTTTAAAAAAAACTACACATATTTTGTCTATTATCAACTTGTGTGGTCGTCACTGTCACAATGTTTACTGAAACGTCGATCCTATTGACCGCGAGTCGTATGATTAATATGATTCTATTTTTGTCCAAAGTTCCGTGACTAGGAGTAAATATAAGTTCAAATCTGGCAATGTGAAAAAAACACGTTTGGCAGCGACACAAAATCAACGTTTATCTTGGTGTAATTTCTCGGATCACGGGTTACATTCAGGTCATGTTTGTTCTGACAATACTCAGCGTTTTTCAATAACGAATAGGCATTTTGATTGATCTATTATCGGAACCCAGTCGCCGCAAACCAGCGTCAGCGAGAACACCTGGAACCAGTCGAAATAGATAACTTACAAATCTACCTTAGGCAAGCAAGGAATCGGATGCGAATATTGCTTAACATCGCATCAGCAATTTTGCAGCTACTCAGGTTCGGATGTAAACAACTGTTTAAACAACGTGTGACTTGGTGAAAATTTCACCCCTGAATTCCCAACATACCCAGGTTAACAAAACAATAATATACCTTGTTATTACGAATTTGGCAAAGAAGAACGTCCTTGAACGCAGAACCTTTATTTAGCTTTCTTTGGAGAACGACAGTTGCATGTCATATTATTTACTTTAATATGTTCATTGTAAACGTGATATGACGTGTTCAATAAGATCATTGTGGTATGTATATATCGTTGTACTCACTCTGTGGGCGTCAATATCAATACTGAATCAGTCCTTACATCCTGCATCAAGCCAGATATCAAAGGTGTGGAACATAGGTTTTAACGTTACCTACAAAATTAGGAACCTGTGAAAATCCAGGTTAGAATTAGATCTTCAGTAACCCATGCTTGTCGTAAGAGGCGACTAACGGGATCGGGTGGTCAGGCTCGCTGACTTGGTTGACACATGTCATCGTATCCCAACTTGCGTAGATCATTCATGCTTTTGATCACTGGATTGTCTTGTCCAGACTCGAATATTTACAGACCGCCACCATACAGCTGGAATATATCTGAGTGCGGCGTAAAACTATACTCACTGGTTCACTCTCAAAATTAGTGCAGTTGAATAGCGGTGTGCGTGCCTGTTCTAACTCGCACTATTACAAGAGCCTTTATACTGCTGGACACAGCTTTCGTTCGACTGACATATAGTAAAACAAAATTACCTGGGTCAATCAAGCATCGAGTTAACCATAATTCAAGACATCGACGCCAAGTTTGACCAGAATGCAAACATATTTCCTGATCGATAGACACGTCGTTTTAAACGAATTCGAGTTAATGACGTTCTATATATATGATTCTGTATCGAACGCTTCGGTGTAATACGTCTCTAGGTAAAACGTCCGTTATTTAATGGTGTGTATGGTATCAACAATCTATCGATGACAACCTTATTGCCTGCTGTTTATCCTAATTAACGCAGGCCTAAAATAAATACCCTTGTCAGACAAGACCGAGACCTGCGGTCGGGCCTGTAACCATTATACGGCGGATATGTTCCAGTCCAACTTTTGACGTACACCACAACACACCTACTTTAGCAGTCTGGGAACGGTTCATGGCCGAACCAATAGAAGATTACTGATTGAACCAAGATCGATTACCAACAACATGTTTACCGTAATTATACAACAACATACAACCATAGTTGTATCTGCCAGCAATATCATGTAGCATTTCCAGTACTTGTCTTATTCGAGATTATGAGAGATTATTTTCAAGGATATAAGTACGGCATGTCGCTCAAAGGTTAGAATAATGTGGAACTGCAGTGTTTTCTGGACTTGAAAATGTTTCACAAGAAACACAAGAAAAGAAAAACAAAATATATATCATTAAAGCTAAAGGCATCCCAAAGAGATAACCGTTATATGAAACTTACCGATAATAATATGAACTATAATAAAAACACCACCAAATATATTTCAGCGTTTTACCTCTGTGTTTCGAGTTATTCTAATCTGTAAAACACAAGAATAATAAAGCCATAGACACAATGAACTGAACCTTTCGTGGGATCATAAATATCGGATATCATCCTTTTTCGGACGTAAGTGTTCACTCTTGTCATAACGAGTCGGGTTGTGTCACAAAAACGTTGTAAATGCGGATGATATCTTGTGTTTAGGACAAACTTGTCTTTG